GCAACCCACACATAGCTTGGAAAGAACAGTGTTCTGGATGAACAGTGATTAGAGGTGATGGGAGGAGCTGACCGAGAGGTGACAGGTGACCACCAGGATAGAGGATAGTTGGAGGAGCCTGAACTTTCTTCAGCATCTGAGTTGGGGCTAGAATTATTATAATTAGTAAAGGAAGTGGGGACTCCAAAAAGCAGAAATGTGGAGAGACCTCAGGTTACCAAAGTTAAAATCCTATTAATCTTGTGATCTGTGCTGTATGGAATAGTAGGAAGCAAGCTGTGATAGTTAAGGTTGTGTGTCAAATTGGCTGGACCATGATTCTCAGTGGTTTGGCAGTTATGATGTAGTTTGGCAGTCATATAATGATGTAATCACCTCCATGATGAGATCTGATATACTATGATACCTCCATGGTGGGATCTACTGTGATCAGCCAGCAACTCAGTGGCAGGTTGATTACATTGGACCACTTCCATCATGGAAAGGGTAGCGTTTTGTTCTTACTGGAATAGACAGTTACTCTGGATATAGATTTGCCTTCCTTGCACGCAATGCCTCGGATCAAGGGACTCAACTTTACAGCAAATGAAGTGTGGCAATGGGCCCATGCCCATGGAATTCACTGGTCTTACCATGTTCCCCCTCACCCTGAAGCAGCTGGCTTGATAGAATGATGGAATGGTCTTCTAAAGGCACAATTACAGCACCAGCTAGGTGGCAATACCTTGGAGGGTTGGGGCCATGTTCTCCAGCAGGCTGTATGGGCTCTAAACCAGTGCCCAATATATGGCACTGTTTTTCTCATAGCCAGAATTCATGAGTCCAGGAATCAAGGGGTGGAAATGGGAGTGGCACCACTATCACCACTGGTGACTACTCACAAAATTTTTGCTCTCTGACTCTGTGACACTATAATCTGTAGGTCTAGATGTCTTAGTTCCAAAGGGAGGAATGTTCCCACCTACAGACATTGAACTGGAATTTAAGAATGCCATCTGGCCACTTTGGACTATTTATGCCTCTGGATCAACAGGAAAAGAAGGGAGTTACCATATTGGCTGGTGTGATTGATCCTGATTATCAAGAAGATTGAAATTACATACTGGTGGTAAAAAAAGAGTATGTCTGGAATGCAAGAGATCCCTTAGAGTGTCACTTAGTACTACCATGCCCTGTGATTAAAATCAATGGAAAGTTACAGCAACCCAATTCCGACATGACTGCTAATGGACTAGACATTTCAGGAATGAAGGTTTCGGTCACCCCACCAGGCAAAGAACCATGACCAGCTGAAGTGCTTACGGAGGGCAAAGGGAATACTGAATGGATGGTGGAAGATACCAGTTATAACCATGTGACCAGTTGCAGAAATGAAGATTGTAATTGTTATGAGTATTTTTTCCTTGTATGTGTGCATCAAATATTTTTGTTTTCTTCACTTATAAAATATAGTAGGTAAACAGGGCTAGTGTGTTTTCAGTTGTACTCATGTTAGTTGTATCATGTTAGGTGCAAGTATGACTTTACAGCTGTGTTTATTCAGAGATTATGTATGGTTTAAGGAGATGTGTACAGGTGCCAAGTTGATAAGTGGTGAACTGCAATCATTAAGGTTGTATGTCAACTTGCCTGGGCAATGATTCTCAGTGGTTTGGTGGTTATGATGTAGTTTGACAGTCATATAATGATGCAATCACCTCTATGATGAGATCTGATATAATGTGATCACCTCCAGGATGGGATCTGCCGTGAGTAGCCAATCAGTTGAAAGGGAGTTTCCTTGGAGGTGTGGCCTTCATCCAGTATAGGTGGACTTTCTGGCAAGGGTCATTTGCTTTTGCTTGCTCTGTATCCTGCAGCTGGCTCCTGTTCATCTGACCTCTGGATCTTGAGACTTGAGCTAGCAGCTTGCCTGCCCATCTTGGGATTCATCAGCTTCCATGGTCTGGATCTTGGGTTCACCAAACCCTGCAGCTACCTGGGTAGGTAGAAGCCTCCAGCTTGACACACGGATTTGGAACTTTCCAACCCCTACAACCGTGTGAGCCATTTCCTTGATATAAATCTCTCTCCTGAAAAAATTTTTTGTGAAGTATAACTTCTACCCATTTTATCTGTGACCCTCAGTTCCCCCATTTGTAAGCGGATCTGCCCAAGGTCACAAATTGATTCACCATCAAAATTTAGCAAGAATTATTTAATTTCTTTCAATTGAGTGCAACATTAGAGCAGATATAGACCCTAGGATTCTAAAACATCCCCATCTAAACCTCCTTTTCAAAGATTTTAGGCTCCCTTGGGCAAGGCAGCAAGTAGAAAATTGTAATTCAGAGCAGAAAATCACCAGTGTCCTTGAAAGAGTGATGCCTCAGATAGCAAGACATTTGCCTTGTATTATGCCCTGCTGGGTGGCTCCTGCTACGGGCCTCTTCCTGAGGGTAGTTGTGGGCAGACCCTCTCCCAGTCCCAATAGGCCAGGGTTTACTTGGGAATGAGATATCCCCAAAAGCTACTTTTCTTTGTCAGAGATGGAATAGTCCTGATGCTTGTGCTTTGTGTGAACTGAAAATTAGATCTCTGGTTAAGAAGATGGGTCATATTCGGTCTTTAGACCATTTCTTCCTGGTTATTTTTCTATACTACAAAATGAACCCAACATGAGGCAACATTGGTAAAAATAGAAAGCTTACATATATCTGACACTCTTAATTTGGAGAAAAAAATAAAAGTGTCAAATGCAGCCCCAGTTTTTAGTTCTGTACTCTCAAAGTGGCAGCTCTGCAAAGAGTGTTACTGATGGGTGTCTACAATTTTCTGTCTGTTTGAGGGCCACACGACCTAAGGACAACTATGTGCTCGCAACTCCAAACCCCACTATATGGAATTGGTAAACCTAAAATCTGTAATTCCTCCTAATTTTTACAACTGGAATGATAGAAATATTTCTAAAACATATCATATGCTCCACTCATTTGAATATCTTTATTAAGGGGGTAGCTGCCATGGTCTCTCATGATGTCAAATTGGTAGCTTTAGGTTAAGGGTCCAACCAGCCACCTCATTTTCTAGAAACCTGACTTTATGGGTACACATTTCATGAATCTATGGTTAGCAGACTAGAAATATTTTAAATAATGAATTTTGGCAGTTGATTACTGTCTTAGTTATCTAGTGCTGCTATAACAGAAATACCACAAGTAAATGGCTTTAGCAAACGGAAATTTAGTCTCTCACAGTTTAGGAAGCTAGCAGTCCAAATTTCGGGTGCTGGCTCTAAGCGGAAGGCTCTAGAGAAAGGTCCTTGTCTCCTTTCCACATCTGAGGGCCGAGCATCCCTTGGAGATCTCCATGTGTCTTGGCATCAATCTTCCCCTGGGTCAGGAATGTTCTCAGTACAGGGACCCCAGGTCCAAAAGATACGCCATGTTCCCAGCTCTTCTTTCTTGGTGGTACTGAGGTCTCCCTCTCTCTTGTAAGACAAAAGGTGATGCTGATGCAGACCACACTCCAGGGAAACTCCCCTTACATGGGTCAGGGATATGACCTGAATAAGGGTGTTGCATCCTACCCTAAACCTGCCTCGTAAACATATAAAAATATAGCCGAATCCTGCCTCACTAACACATAGAGGTCAGGATTTACAACACATCACAAATGGAATATAATTACATCAGATCACATCATGGGGGATGATTACATCTTTACATAACTGCCAGACCACTGAGAATCATGGCCTAGCCAAGTTGCCTCATATTTTGGGGGGACACAATTCAATCCATGACAATTACCAATAGAGGTAAAAAATGAGTTGAATCAGGCATATACTTAGTGCTTCAAATGTTCTGCGGTGACTATTTCTACCAGATTCATAGTCGGTGCTATGTTTCCCCAGCACCCAGAAGAGTCTTTATTTGACTTCCTGTGTGCCTACAGGAGTCCCTGGATGGCACAAATGGTTAAGCGCTCAAGCACAAGCCAAAAGGTTGGTGGTTTAAAACCCAGCCAGAGGTGCCTCAGAAGACAGGCCTGGCAATCTGCTTCCTATGGAGCAGTTCTGCTCTGCACACATGGGGTCACCATGAGTCAGAATCGACTGGACTGCAGCTAACAACAACAACTGTGCCTACAGCCTCAACTCCCAAACCCCAGTCCCTAAGGTATGTATTGGGCAGAGTGGGGAGAAAAAGTTGAAGATGCTTAGCCACAGAAGCATCAAAAATTATAGGTTTCCTCTTTATGTCTGAAACCCTGAAACCCTGAGAAAGGAAATCCTCCGGGAGTAATTTCTTTTTCAATATAGTACTTTTATGTGGTTGAAGGAGGGAGGGATTTCTACCATGTTGACCAGAAGTGTCCCTGTAAATCACATTTTGAGAAGCACTAATCGAAGGTACAGTCTGCTCTCTGTATCCGTGGGTTCTGTGTCCATGGATCCAACTAACCACAGATTGAAAATATTTGGAAAAAAAAGACAAAGAAAGTTTCAAAAACCAAAATTTGAATTTGCTGTGCACCGAGCACTACACCAAAGCTACGTGAATGGAGTGATGTGTGGGCATACCCTGCTGTAGCTTCCCGCCATTTCCCAGATCCTCAATTTCTCTCCAGAACTCGTTGTTTAATCACCCTTTGCCTTGTGTCTAGTTCATTCTCTACTTGTATTGTAAGCACCCTTTGTTTCTGTGAAAAATGGTTCGTTCAAAGCAATGAAGTGGTCAAAGGAATCCCTCAAAGTGTGAGCAGGTGAGGAGAGCGAGAGGAAGGAGTGTCAGTCTAGTAAGGGATGGCTGGCTAGCTATGAAAAGCACTACAGCCTATATAAGTGACTTGAGCATCCTCAGATTTTGGTACATTTTGGTATCTTCAGGGGTCCTGGAATCAGTCCCCTGTAGATACAGAGGGACGACTGTATTCCTTAAATGCCAGCCTAAGCTCCATGTTTGATATTCACAAAGCTCCACTACTAAAGCCAAAACCTATTATCTAACCCTAGAACTTACCTACATGCAGTGTGTGCACCATGAGTAAAGTATATTTGCTTGAAGAAATATTGCATAAATATTCCCCATTGTCTGAAAGAGAAAGATCTGTCAAAGTCCAAGAGAAGTGACTTTGGTTGATCAGCTCTTTGTTCCATGAGAATTGGGATTCACTGATAACCGTGTTTTGTGAAGAGCTTAGAAAGTAAGCCAGAACCGAGGAAGTCCCACTTTTCATTCTGGACCAAGTAACAATGAAGTCTTGATTTGGTAGAGAAAAATTGTTGGCAAGTTGACATGAGAGTGAAATGTCTTCACTTTGCACTTTATGAAGGTGCTCTAACAATAGAATAGAGAAGAAAAGGTCAATGAAGATAAACTTTTCAAATGAATTTTCTAAGTTAAACTTAGGAAACAGGGAATGAAGACTATAATATTGGTTTCTTTGGAAATACCTTTTTGAAAAGCAATTAGATACTATAGTGTGGGTATTGTTAAAATAAAAGCCTTGCTGTTGTTGTTGTTAGTTGTCAATGAATCAGTTCCAAATCATGATGACCTCATGTGTGCAGAGTAGAACTGCACCATAGGGTTTTCAAGGCTGTGACCCTTCAGAAGCAGGTCGCCAGGCCTGTCTTCCAAGGTGCCTCTAGGTGAGTTCAAACTGCCAAACTTTCGGCTTGTAGTCGAGTACTTAACCATTTGCATCACCCAGGGAACCTAAAAAAGAAAAGCCTTACAATCACTATTTTCCATTTTGCCACCAAGTAAGTGTAGGAATATTCTTCAAAGTGGCCTAAAGCCTGAGACAGCAGAGGGATGGTATGCTGGGTTTTAACTCTCACAACTGACACCGAGTACTTGACAAAATTGCTATCAGTTACTACCCTTTTTAATTCAGTTTGTTGTTGTTAGCTGCTGTCAAGTTGTCTCAGACTCATGGTGACCTTTTGTACAACAGAATGAAACATTGCCTGATCCTGCACTATCTTCATGATCATGGTATGTGTGAGTCCATTGTTGTACTCTTTTGTATTTTGAGTGTCTTCCAACCAAGGGGGCTCATCTTCTAGCCCAATATTGGACAATATTCTGTTGTGGCCCATAGGGTTTTCATTGACCACATTGATTTGCTTCTTTTAATTTTTCAGAAGTAGATCACCAGGCCTTTCTTCCTAGTCTGTCTTAGTCTGGATATTCTGCTGAAACTTGTCTGCCATGGGTAACCTTGCTGGTATTTGGAATACCAATGGCATAGCTTCCAGCATTATAGCAACACACAAGCTACCACAGTAGGACAAATTGACAGATGGTAGTTTTAACTCAGCACTCTTCTTTTATTGACCCCCTCAAATGCTAGTGTTCCTCAGGACTCCCCTCTTATTACTCTGTCTACTCCTTGGGGGTCTTTGTAATATTTATGGTCACAGCCACTTTCTAATCTTTCTATCTAGACAAAGTCTCTTTTCTGCACTTAAGAGGTATATTTGCAACTGTCTGCAGGTAACCGCCCAGTGGATTAGCTCTTGTAAAGCAGCGACTCTGCTGGGTGGTCTTGGTTTGCCCCTCCAGATCCAGCTTCACCCTGTCCTTCCTGTTCTTTACTTCCGTAGGCTGGCCTCTATGGACTGCCATTGGATTGGTCTTCATGGTTCTTGACTCACCTACTCTCTAGACAACCTGCTGGAGAGCTATGCCAAAGCAAGAAAATCCCGTGTTTCTTTGATACTTCAAGTCACTCTTGGCTCCACGCTACTGTGAGGGTCCAGTTCACATCCCTCAGCAAGGTGTGGAGGCAGGCCATCCAGCTGGTGTTCACCTCCCTCCTCAGTGAGGTGTGCAGGCCTTCCATCTGGTGTTTTCCTCCCTCTCCATGTTCATCTCTTGACATTCTAGCTGCACTCTCAGCCACCCCACACTTCACAAAACCAGGCAACTTTACTCCTCTGTGCTTTTGTACATGCCGTACTTGTAGCCTAGAATGCCTGTCTTCTCCTGGAACCTCTGAATCTTTAAAAGTCTGCCTTTATGCAACTTCCTTAAACATATCTTCTCTAACAATCCACACATGCCCATTCACGATGAACAGAATTAATCACTCCCTTCTTATGCTGCCTTCCTGGTTTACTTTTACAGGTCTGTGCTAGATGCTGTGGATTCAGAGATGAGTAAGAGAGTCCAAGTTCTTAAGGTCACAATCTGGGGGGAGACAAAGCCTGGCAGGTAATAAATAGATCTTCAGCAAGATAAAGCAATATTGGGCCTAAAGAATTGTTGGTACTTCAGGATACTCAGTATGAATAAACATAAGAAATTATGATTTTGTAAAGAAAATATTGACAATTTAACATTAACATTTTAAACTATTTCCTACATGTCCCTTACTGCCTGACTGCTGAAAAATGACCAATGGACATTGGGTGCCCATGCCTTTAACTTTGGAGTCAGGTAAAGGTGGTAAGTCTCTTGCAGTTTCCATGCTTTCTTGGTGAGCATCTTGAGAATGTGAAACCCTGGGGAAGAGAAGGCTGAAAAAGATGCTAACCTCCACTTTCTCCACATAAGGGAGATTTACAGAAAAATTGTGTTTTGCTTTTAATAAAATATAAAACAATAATTTTCCTTGGAATTGGGTAGGGAGGTATCAAATTAATTTTTCCCCTTAATCTTTTCTTTAACAGTAGGTTATAGATATAGACATTGATCAGAGTTTGGGTGTGTACAAATAAATGACAAGAAAGAGTTCTAAAACTTGATCATGCTATGATAGAGGTCAAATAAAGAGTGATAGGTTAATACTAAATAAACACAGGCAATAATTAATTATAATTGTTTTTGTTATTGTTAACTGCCATCAAGTCAGCCCCCAATTCATGAAGACCCTATGCTCAACAGAACAAAACATTGCCCAGTTCTGTGCCATCCCCATGATTGGTTGGGGATTGACCACTGTGATCCATACGGTATTAGTGAGCTTATTTTCAGAAGTAAATCTTCAGGCCTTTCTTCCTAGACCATCTAAGTCTGGAAGCTCTGCTGAAACCTGTTAAGCATCATAACAACATTGCAAGCCTCCACTGATAGACAAGTGGTGGCTGTGCATGAGGTGCACTGGCCAGGAATCTAACCTAGGTCTCTCACATGGAAGGCAAGAATTCTACCACCGAACCATCAATATTCCAGGGTGGTTCAAAGGGTTAATGCATTCAGCTGCTAACAGAAAGATTGGAGGTTTGAGTTCACCCAGAGGTGCCTCAGAAGAGAGGCCTGGTGATCTATTTCCAAAACCCTATGGAGCACAGTTCTACTCTGACACATATGGGGTTGTTATGAGTTGGAGTTGACTCTATGGCAACTGATTTACTAATTAGAATACTAATGGGCTAATTCTTATTTAGTTATAAGATTCGCAAGAGTCAGATATTGTGATCTGCTAAAAGACAAGCACTCTTTCCTTCCCCTCCGATCCTTTTTAAAGTAAAATGCAGATGGAAAGATGAGCCTTATGCAGAAATTGGTAATATTCATGCACGGTTTTTCTACTTTCCATTTCAAAAATGTTTTCATGCAATTCATAAACACTTACAAACTAAGAGTTACTCCCATTTTATTAGTGAGAAACTAAACTTCAGAAGTAAAAAATTATTGCTTAAGTTAATACAGGCAGTAAGATTAGCCCTGGGACTCTAGTCTTGGTCTCCTAACTGAAGGGAAAGCATTTTCTTCTGTTTCTTTCCATTTTTTTTCTCCCTTGTAAATCAAGCCCCATCCGCTCCCAATTCTCAACACAGCATTTGCTACAGAAAGCTGTACAGAGCCTACCTTTCATTACCCATTGCCCTCTCCATGTTTGCTTCAGCAGTGAATTTTCAATGATACATTCATAAGATTTATTTGAAAATGTAACATTCAGTGTACTTTTGATATAAAAGGGAGGCGAAGGCTCAAGCTCTTCCATAGTGCTTTCAGAGACAGCTGTATTGCCTGCTTGCCATGTGATCGTTGGATGAGGATAAATCATTAACACACAGCATGTTAGGAAGGTGCTTGTATTCCTCGTTTCATACTTCATCATAGGCATGAGGAAAGCTATGTGGAAGAAAGAAGGACATATAAGGATGTGTCATCATTAGCTTCTTTTTAGGCCATCTGTGCAGCACACTTATTATTTTTATACCCCTGATATGAAAAGCTAAGCTTTATGAGCAAAGCACAGCATTTACTGAAAGGAAAAACAAAAATCCTGTAGAAACATAAGATATAGTGTACTTATGTAGAAGGGGAAAAAAGAGCACACATATACATAGCAACTAGCAATCTCAACTCTCTAGAAACATAGCTGAGAAAGACATCTTATGGCTTCACTGAACAAACAAATGCAGGTGTTCAAATCTGTGAACTAGAGCTTAGGAAGTTCTCCTAACTCCTCAGATGCTCACTCAGAGATTACGTGCCTCTTTGTTTACACATAATTCAAATGAACTTAGATGTCTGAGTCAAGGTCTGAAGCAGCTAAATGCAACAGAGGAAGAAGGAACAGGTGCTGGATAAAACCACCCATTAGAAAACAGCAAAAGCAAAACAAAACAAAACAAAACAAAAACATAGAAAGATAATACAGAAAAGAGGACAGCACATGATATTTTAAAAAACTCATTCACAAAAAAGGAAAAATGCAACTTAAATCAATAATTCAGTATTTTTTTCAGCCATCATATTGGCAATAATTTTGAGAATTGATAGTATTTTGTGCCGACCAGACTGAGGGGGAAAATGGATACTCTTATGCTGCTGGCGACAGTAACATTAAAATCCTACGCTGACACTTTTCTTTTAGATCATTTCCCAGTACTAAATACAATAATAAGGCATCCATTACCACATTGTTGTAATACAAAACACTGGAAATACCTGGATATCCACCAGTGGGGAAATAGTTTTGTCAATTATAACATGTCTTTACTATGAGATATTATTCATTTAAAAAAATAAAGTATATGAGAGATGGGGGAGTGGAGAAGGAAACACTAAATAGACAAGTGGTAACTTTGGTGAAGGGTAAGACAGTACACAATACTGAGGAATCCAGCACAACCTGTACAAGGAAAGGTCATGGAAGCTCCATAGACACTTCCAAACTCCCTGAGGGACCGAATTGCTTGGCTGAGGGCTGTGGGGACCATGGTCTCAGGGAACATCTAGCTCAATTGGCATAACACAGTTTATAAAGAAGATGTTCTACATTCTATCTTGGTGAGTAGCGTCTGGGGTCTTAAAAGCCTGTGAGCAGCCATCTAAGGTACTTCATTGGTCTCACTCCTTTAGGAACAAGGAAGAATGAAGAAAACAAGATATAAGGGAAAGATTAGTCCAAAAGACTAATGGACCACAACTACCATAGCTTCCACCAGACTGAGTCCAGTACACCTAGATGGTGCCTGGCTGCCACCACTGACTGCTCTGACTGGGATGACAACAGAGGGTTAGAGCTGGACAGAGCTGGAGAAAAATGTAGAACAAAATTCTAATTCACAAAAAAGACCAGACATACTGGCCTGACAGAGACTGGAGAGTATAGCCCCTGGACACCCTTTTAGCTCAGTGAAGAAGTCACTCCCGAGGTTCACCATTCAGCCAAAGATTAGGCAGCCCCAAAAAACAAAACGAGACTAATGGAGCACAACAGTCCAGGGACAAAGACTAGAAGGCAGGAGGGGGCAGGAAAGCTGGTAATAGGGAACCCAAGGTTGAGAAGGGACAGTGTTGACATGTCATGGGGTTATTAATCATTGCCATAAAACAATATGTGTACTAACTGTTTAATGAGAAACTATTTGTTCTGTAAACCTTAATCTAAAGTACAATTTAAAAAAAAAGAATAAAGTAGATCGGTATGTATATTGACTGGGAAGGAAGCAATAGCATATTAGGTTAAGAAAAAGGCATGTTTTGGAATAACAGGGAAGTATCCCATTTATATTTTATAAAAACTTTATACATGTGCACTTACCTCCCATCTTTAGCACTATTTTGTTTGTGGTTTTTCCAGATTCTGTTCCCGTACACCAGATGTAACTGCCATCATCCTGAAGGTTTAATTTTATGAGAGACAGAGAATCATTCCCATTGTGAATTTCACTATGGAAGAGCTATGTCCTGTTTGCATGTTTGGGATCTTGCCTTTCCAATTTGTTGCTGCCTTTGTAGTAGCTGTGAACGTTTTGGCCTTGAATCTTCCAGTGAATTGCAACTTCAGGCCCACTCTCAAACAAGCAAGGGAGAATTAGATCTTCATTAAGTCTTCCAGTAACTGTTTGTTCACTGTCAATGCTAAAATGGTTGAAGAAAGCTAAAAAGAATGGATCTAAAATTAATAGTAGAGATGTTATAAAGAGAATTAGTGATGGGTGCTCATAAAGGGTTGTATCAGGCAGGACCTCTCTAGAAGAATCATCCTAGGTCAGGAGCCTGATCATTAACAGACCACATCATCAAGAACCATTGGTAGTCTTATTACTAAACACAGCTTCTTGGCTTGCTTCTGAGTTTCTACAATTTTAATTGAACGCTTGTTTGATTCAGTTTAACTGTATGTGATAACTGACAACAGCCCAAAGCACCCAAAGCACAGAAACACTGGTTTTGCTACCCACTTGATCAAATAGTCTCATTTCTTCTCCCACCTGGCCTACCACAGTGCTGGAAATGATGTATATTATGTATATAAAAGACTCCTATTGATTTTTATTCCCAGAACACATTCACTTTTAACACCTATTATAACAATAGATTAGTTTATCCAGCTAACTTGAGCCAAAACCAAAACCAAACCCGTTGTTGTCAAGTGGATTCCAACTCATAACGACCCTATAGGACAGAGTAGAACTGCCCCCTACAGTTTGCAAGGAGCAACTGGTGGATTTGAAATGCCGACCTTTTGGTTAGCAGCCTGAGCTCTTAATCACTGAGCCACCAGTGCTCCAGCTAGAGCCAGAAGAACCTAAAAGAATGGAACACGCTTGTCTTGGTTGGGTTGGGAAATTATTTGGAGCAGGCAGAAGACAATGCTGGGCTAAGGAAGCTATTAGGAATATACAGACACGGGTCTCAAGCAGCTGAGGATATGGGCAGGAGCAGTCCAAAGGGCAAATAAAATGATGCATTTAATGTGGCTTAGGACCACTCTCGGGATACCCCATGAGTCAGTCAAAATATAGTTAAGAAATATTATTCCGGATACGAATGTGGAAGTCCAATTCTCCTGATGTACTTTTTTTTAACTGTCAATTTCAGAAGTTTGTTTCAAAAAGTAAATGGATTTTATCACTATACAAGTTTTTGCAAAGAAAATATACATAGCTACTTTATAATCATTAAAGGCAGCATCCAGCTTCTTCGGCCAATTCATAAAGCATTGTGAATTTCTTTGTGGATTCTAAAACAGTAGGGCTGGAAGGGACTTTATCTTTACAGGCAACAGAGTAAACTCCCCTGGGCTGTGGCTAAGCTCACCCAAAACAGGAGAATTGCTGCACAAAGTCTTTCTTCTCTTCCTCTTCCTCCAAGGCTTTTTCCATCCTACCATGCCTCTCCTTTCACAGACAGCGTTAGTTTACTTCTGTACAGGGAGCTAGAGGGGCGTGGTTCTGTGCTAAGAGAAAGACATAGGAAGGCGGGGCAGAAAAGCAGTGATTGTCAACTTCCCTAATTGCACTACTAAACCCCTGTAATATTTCAATGGATAATTAAGAATTCCTGTCTCAGAAGGTAGCAAAGCCGATAATGCTTTCTGTTAAGTGTTGAGTACCAAGCTAACACTTAAAAAAAAAAAAGCAAACTAGCCTTTCTAGTGATATTATTTATGGTAGTGGATAACAGATTAGGAAGAGCCTTAATTAGAAAGGACAGAAGAATGTATGGTTTTTAATCTTCATTTGGGCTCCCAATCCCTTCCCTGTTTCTCATTAATTGATCTTTAGAAAATTTTACAATGCTGTGATAGTTAATATTATGTGTCAACTTGGCTAGGCCATAATTCCCAGTATTGTGTAATTGTACTCTATTTTATGGTCTGATGTAATTGTCCTCCATTTTGTGGTATTGTGTAATTATCCTCCATTTTATGTGTTGTAAATTCTAAACCTCTATATGTTAATGAGGCAGGATTAGTGTGGGGTGTATCTTAAGTCACACCCTTATAACAGGGCATGACTCAAGTCACAGCCTTACTCAAGTAGCTGTCTTAAGTCACACCCTTACTCTAGTCACACCTTTACTCTAGTCACACTCTTACTCTAGTCACATCCTTACTCAACTACCTTACCCAAGTCACTGACTTACTCAAGTCACACCCTTACTCAAGTCACGCCCTTACTCAAGTCACACCCTTACTCAAGTCACTGCCTTACTCAAGTAACACTCTTACTCAAGTATCTGATGTAAGGGATGTTTCCTTGAGGGTGTGGCCTGCATCCACTATATATGAATGCTCTGGCAAAGCTCTCTTGCTTGCTCTGAATTCTGCATCCGGCTCATCATCATCTGACCTCCGGTTCTTGGGACTTGAACCAGCAGCCTGCCTTCTGACCTGCCGATTCTGGGATTTGTCACTTTCACAGCACTGTGAGCCAGTAGCCTGCCATCTGAACTGATTCACCAGATACTGCAGCCCCGTGGGCCAGCAGCCTGTCATCTGACCTGCCAATTGGGGTTCATCAGCCCCTGAAAACATGTAAGTCAGGAGAAGCCCCCAGCCTGATGCCTGACCCATGGATTTGGGATTTGCCAGCCTCCACAACTGTGTGAGCCATTTCCTTGAGACAAATCTCTTTATATATGTTC